TTTGACGACTTGATAGAAATTCTATGTTCCTTAAGAGGGGCATTCTGCCTTGACGAGTCCGCCGGTCTCACGGTCTCAACCTATTTCCACACACAGGCTAGTCCGGTCTAGGGTACTGTAGCGGCGGTTAGACGATGCCGCGAGCTGAGCGGCATCGTCTAACCGCGGCTCAGCGGCTTCGCTGGCCACCAGACGGTCGCGGGGATCAACTAAGCAACGAGATCGTTCTCCAGCCTCGCTGAACGCCCTGCGGCGCTTAAATGCCTGGCGCAGGAGGCGGGAATAAGGGGATGACATCGTGTACATAGAGTTTATGACATTGCCAGTCACAAGAGCCCTTGCAGCCCGCATATGGGCTACATCGTGTAATTCAACTTTTTTGCTTGGTTTTTTGTTTATATGATTATCTCTTAAAACGTAAATGATAAACACAAACTTGATGAATTAACGAACGGAGTGGTTTAAAAATGAAACCTCCACCAGCAAATTTATTCGAAAAATAGTGATTATATATTGGTTCTTCTTCAAGTGAATTATTATTAAATGCTGAAACATTTTGAAACTCGTATAACTCTCACCAATTACACAGCTTATGAAACCTATTGAAGCAGTCTACACAGAAAAATGATTCGCACTTGCTGCACCGCGTACTTACCCTTTTCGTATGATGGAGGGCACCAGCTCGCCTCTCTTCTAAAGACCTGAGTGCATATCAGTGTGTTCATCTCCTTCTTGTGATGGGCTTTGGTCCAGGCACTTCCTCCAAGTGATGTTCTGTAGAAGGTGCGAGGTCAGGTCCGTTGTAAGAAGAACGTTTACTGATTACATTTTGAAGTCGTTCAGTTTTACCTTTTTGACGACAACATTGTTGAGCTTTGGTTGCGACTTGTGCGATCAAATGAGTGAAAATCCTTACCCACCACTTAGCATACAGACCTTCTACGCAAAAAAGGTCTGTATGCTGCGAGCTGGTCGGCGACGTCTGCAGAGCATTTGAGGTGGTTGTAGTCTTCGACAACCGCGGGTTTACCATTGGAATTGATGCTCCCATCGCGCTTTGTTGACCTGTAGCAATATTTCACGTTTGTCCTTCCATTTCATAACGAGAATACCTTGCTCACTTTGCTGGGAATAAACTTCCTTTTCTTCAGTGTTTTTTTCCTTGATTGCTTTTGGAATTTCCTTTCTATTCTTTTGCAAGGTACCTGTCAAATGTGTGCGCCTTTTCAGAAGTTTTTCAGACAGTGAATTGCTGGTGTAGAAGTTTTCCGAACACAAAGTACTCCCTCACCCATGAATTCTTCCATGAGCTCCACGACAGCTAAGTCCGCAACAGTGCCCATTCTTGGAGGGTCTCTCCCTGCATACACCTTCGCTTTGGCTGTGTATCAGCCTCGTTCATTACTTTGAACAGCTTGATACCGTAGCAATGCTTTTTGGACGGTATGTAGTGCTGAAGGAACTTTGCGCTCTGAATGGCACCAGGGATTCGTCTATGCAGGCGTCGCTGCCGATAGAAAAAGCGCTCGTAGCTGTCGCGTTGAAGAGACTTAAGAATTTCTGGTCTTTGTGCAGCTTGTCCCCATCGAATTGTTAGCAACGTGGAGGGAACGAAGAAGCGAAACCTTCCCCTAACCATAAAGCGACCGACATGCGAATGAACACCTAGAGATTGTCGCTGGCTCCAGCAATCATGCAGTCGTGGTAGTTTGACGATTCCCATTTGAAGGCAGTTCCGAAGAATTCCCTCATTTCTTCCATAGTCGTATCCTGGAAGTCCGATCCAAATTTCTCCGTTCTTCGCTGACCACATCTGTTCGTTTCGGTGACAATGAGCTATATCATTTCAACATCAAGAAACAGATTGCATAGAAGTCGACAGGATGGTTGCAACTTAAAACGTGGGCAGCTGGTCCATATTCTCCTGTGAAAATCCATCTTGAGTTGATGTAGTTGTTGATCAAGTCATTTCAGGTTCATCACCAGATTCCGATTCACTTTTAAAGTCAAGATCGAGTAGTTGCGATTCGTCTGCGGTCTCATCGTGATGTCCTTCGCTTTCTTCATCACATTCGATCAGCAGTTGAAGAAACTGTACTTCAAACAGTTCCTGTGACGTATTCATGATCGTTAGGGACAGGAGTAGCCTGACTGATCAATCTCCTGAC